CCGGTTGTCTCACTCTGCTCTCTGATTGGCCGGCAGGTTGCTGCAGTTCACCTTTGTGGAGGACCACTTCATGATCCCGGACGACCCGCTGGGCAAAAAGGGGCCCCACCTGGACGCCTTCCTGAGGAGGGACAGCAGGTGTGTGTGTGTGTCCCCCTCCCCTCCCCTTTCCCTGGCTGTTGGTGGCACCGGCCTGACTGTGCGTTTCCTTCCAGGAGGCCCCCGGTGACCCCGCCCCCTCTGCGGCGCCCGGACGCCAGGCCGCCGTCGCAGCTGCCCGTCCACGTCCAGACGCTTAGCTCCGCCCCCCGCCCCCCCAGCTCGCTGACGCCGCACCCCGCCGCCGCCACTCACTGGCCTCACTCCGGGCCGCCCGAGTGGCACCCGCCCCGCCGCTCGCCCTCGCCGTCGCCCTCGCCGCCGCCGCAGCGGTCGCCCGGGGAGACGTCGGAGCTGAAGCGGAAGCTGTACGACATCTTCCCCGACCAGAAGCAGCGGATCGACCGCATCCTGAGCGACAACCCCTACATGAGGGACCTGAACGCGCTGTCGGGGCTGCTGCTGGGCTGAGGGCGTGGCTCCGCCCACTCCGGGGGAGGGGGGGGGTGTGTGAGTGTGTGTATGGATGGATGGATGTGTGTGTGTGTGGGTGCGTGCGTGTTGTCTTCAGCTTTTCCTAAATATTCTCATTCATGATTTAAACTACACAGACTTTGACAGCACTGTTCAGATACTGTTGAAACAGAATGAAAAGATCAAAACGCGTCGGTTTCTGTTGTTATTTTCAAAGATTGAAAGGGAGTCTGACTGTCAGAGGCCGCCACTGAACCCGTGTTTTTAACACGGGGTGTTGACCTTCTAACAAAGAAGGAATGAAGCTGCAGTGGGAAGAGGAGAAAGTGGGAGAGGGGCTGGGGAGGGAAGGCAGAGGAAGTGGACAGATCCAAACCCGGGGGAATGTTAAGCTGTGCTGGAATGCTGCAGGAATCTGACTGTGGACCGGACAGAGAACGGTGAGAGGCAGAACAGGGGTTGGGGAAAACGGGCCCACTCCCAGAGAGGGGAGACAGGAATGTGTTGGGAGTTGTAAAGTTTCACAGAGTCTGGAATCCAGAGCAGAGCTCCGGGAGCAGAAGTGGTGGAAGCGAGTGTGAGCAGGAACCAGGAACGGAGGAAGACGACGGGGAGCCGGCAGGAGCATCAGCGGATTCCAGGCTGAGCCCCGTTTGGCAGGACGCCCCGAACTAAAGCTCTCTGTGGACCTCCCTGCTCTGCAGAATCCTGTGGAACGCCTGGGCCGGTCCTCAGAACCCAGTCTGGTCCTCTGGACCCAGTCCTCTGAACTCAGTCCTCAGGACCCAGTCTGGTCCTCGTGGTCCGGTCCTTTGGACCCAGTCCTCAGGACTCAGTCCTCCGGGCCCAGTCCTCATGACCCGGTCCGGTCCTCTGGACCCGGTCCGGTCCTCTGGATCCAGTCCTCTGAACTCAGTACTCAGGACCCGGTCCGGGCCTCTGGAATCGCTCGATCCTCTGGGCCCGGTTCTTATGACCCGGTCCGGTCCACTTGGCCCGGTCCTCTGGACTGGGTCCTCAGGACTCGACTCGGTCCTCAGGACCCGATCCTCAGGGTCCGGTCCTCTGGACTCGCCCCGATCCAGAGGACTGGGCCAGTCCTCTGGGACCGGTCCGGTCCTCAGGACTCGTGTTGTCCTCTAGACCCGGTTCGGTCCTCTGGACTCGACCTGGTCCTCCAGACTGGGCTGGTCCGGTCCTCTGGACTGGGCTCAGGCACAGGGGTCAGAGCGTAGTTGGGGGCAGACTGCTGTCCGGTGGAGGACGGGGGCCACGCCTGGTGCGCTGTTCATGCTGCCACTGGTCTGAGTTTAGAGGGTTTAAGAAACTTCAGCGCATTCCAGGAGCTGTTAAAATGGGGCAATTTAAGACTTTCAATCAGATGGTACATTAATAAACTGGTGTTGTGATCTGACCGATGAAAAGCAAAGCCTTTGAGGAGCAAAGATGAAGAGTTTTCCACAAATGTATTTATTAAATGAAAAATGTTAAAAAATCCAGATAACTCTGACTCCATCATGCTTAACATCTAGAAAAAAAACTCCTTATTTTCTTATTCTAATTCAAGCTATCTGCCATGATTCTGGCATTTAGGGCGGTGAAGGCAGTATTTGGAATAGCTGATACTGCGCAAGTCCTGATTTATTAAATTTTTACATTTAATGCACAGCTCTGCACTCCTTAAAATGTCTTTAGAAAAATGGGACCAAAAAACATCTTAAATTATTTTATGCATCCAGCTAAAACACATCTTGATTGATATAAACTGCAAACTTTTGTTTGGTCAGATATAAAAAATGAATGACCCAAAAAACTTTAGACACATGCTTTAAAATAGCGGCTTCGTTGTCTGTTAGGAAATAAAATCTAGATTTCCCTTCTTATGCTGGTTGGAATTTCTTTACAAGACTTTAACTAAATAAACGGAATCCTCCATCTCGACCTTCCCGTAAAACGGTGACATCATTCTGAGCCTGTCGGTGAGCTGAGCCCTGGGAACGAGGCGTGCTGAACTTGGTGGAGTAGTTTTCAAAGTCGGGACTCTTCCTGCATAGGATCCGTGCAGGGCGCGCTCCCGAGGCCCCTCTTTAACAACTGTGCGCGCTCCGGCTGGTACTTAACGCCTGGTGTCTGGTCGCTGCTCAGGAGCGGTGCCAATGTGTACGTCGAGCTGGCGAGGGAAAGACTGACAAACGGGGATCCTGCGTCCATCGCCGCGACACACACCCACGCGTGTACCCGCCGTGAACCCGGGGACATTTCTTCCGAGGTAAGCGGGTGTGCCCCGGCCCGAGAAAACGACAGATTTTCGAGCGTAGTGCGCGCTGGCGAAAACAACAGCAGCCGTTAGCTCCCCCCCGTTAGCGCCGTGCTAACGGCGGCGGCGGTGCCGTTACCGTGCTCGTTTGGGCTGTGAACATCCCGACTGTTGCCGTGCGGCTCGTAAAGGAGCCTTGTAACCTGTCCCCGCCGTTACCGTCCGCCGGACAGCGCGCGGAAATCCCCCACGTTACCGGTTTCTCGGCTGGTTCACGTCCGAGCTAAGCTAACAAGCCACCGCTGTGGCTAGCTGGTAGCTAGGAGACGCCGCTTTACGGCAGGACGAGGCCTGGTGAGTCCGTGTCGGCTAATGCTCGCTGGGCTGGCCGTTGTTTGCATGATCCGGACGAAGCCATTTCACTTTCGGGACAGGTTGGGTCGAACCCCCCCCCCCCCGCGGGGCTGTTTTGGGTAGCAGCACGGCCGGCAGAACCTGGTTTATTGTGCAGGAAGCTAAGAGCAATGTTTACCCGAAAACTAGCGACTGCCCGGGTCTAGCTCGCTCTGCCAGGGGGACGGAGCACAGCAAATGTCTGCTTTCTTTAGTTTGTGGGCTTCAGGAGGTCCGTGCCTTCCCATTTTAGGAGTGCACGAGCTGAAACGCGGTCACATCTGCGTGTTGGTGAGAGCTCCGGGGCTGTAAACAAAGCGCAGGTATCACACCTGATCTCCAGTTAAAAAAACCGACCTTCTCCCAGCCCGGAGCTGGGGCTCATCATAGCTGGGCTGGTAATCTGATTATCTTTAACCGTGACAAAGGCGAACAGTTTGAGTCCATCGATCTAAAAATGCGCCATTGAAGGCACAGGCTGGGGACCCATCAGCTGTCCAGTGGCTCAGGCAGGTGAGAAATGAGCCCACTGGCCTCACTCACATGGATCTGGCTGCTGTGAGCTTTGTGGATTCCACTCAAATGAGACGTCAAGTCCTGTCTGAGGGGGACTAAAGGCCACAGAGGAGACTAACGCCACTTGTGAGTGTTCCCCTTTAATTCCTCCTGGTTTGGGATGGGACATGTGACAGGCTGTTGTATGTAAACAGGAGCTGGATAAAGACTTGTAAACCACACGTGCACGTCGCTGACACGCACAGCGTGGCGCTCGCTGTCTCCACCACATCGGCTAAACTTTCCAACACTTTTCCAGCCGTCCAGCCTCCAGAGCTCAGCATGGATCGGGTCGTTGTGCAGGTCCTGTTCTGTGTGAGCAGGGATAGAGATGGAGGCTTCAGGTGGTGCTGGAAGGGAGGGCTGTGCACCATCCTCAGGTTAAATCACGCTGATAAATCGTCTGTTGGTAATCAGTGAAAGCATCACGGCAGAATCTGACCTGCCCGGTGTTAAAGTTTCAGTTAAAAAACTTAATTTAAGTTACTGTTGAGACACGATATGCACAACTTGGTAGAGAGGTGAGAATATAATGATGGGAATTAAATCCACTGATTTAATGTGGAAAAACATCAAATTTATCCCAAAGGGAGCTGAAATGACATGTAAACTGACATGTATGTGAGAAACTGGCACTAATAGCCAGAGTTGAGTGTTTGTGGTAGATGAACGAAGGCTTTTATGTGGGTTCTCCTGCTCGGACACGGGGTTTGCGTGAGGTTTTCAGCCATTTTCCAGCTCGGTTTGTGTCGCCCGAGACGTGTTTCCAGCCTGGTGGTTGGTGTCCATTCGTCCGGGGGGGGGATCTGTGCACCGGCCTGGAGCTGAGGAGGACCCCGTGTGAGGCGGAGCGCTGCTATCCAGGCCGGGCAGCAGCTGTTCCCAGCTGTTCGGGCCGGCCACGCGGGCGCCGCTCCGGCCGCAGCCACGCCGCCATAGACTCGTCACGCGGGGGAAAAAAGAGCAGCTGAACTTTTTCTAACCTTTTTAGAAGCCACACGGGATTGTTTCTTTTTTTTTGTCTTTTTTCATCAAGGATTCGATGTTGATGACATGGATTTGTGTCGCTGAACGGCTGGTGAAGCCTGGTGTGCGGCGTGTGTGTGTGTGTGTGTGTCCTGGTGTTGACGGCTGGCCTGTAGCTTAAAGACGCTTCATTTGGGAGGGATTTGTTTCTGTTAGCTGCTAGTCTGTTGGTCTGTGCAGCGCAGCCATTCGTCTGTTTGAGTGTGAGCGGATGCAGAGCGGCAGTCTGGAGTCGCCGGTGGTTGTGCGCCTCCGTTGTGTTGTGACGGATTGATCTCCGACTCGGGAATAAACGGTGGTTAGTTTTAGCTTAATGAGTCCATCTGCGTGTTTTTGAACATCACTGAGTGTATGTGGGCTGAAAAATGTGTTTACAGCCTCAGAAATGTTTGACTTGCTCCCGGGCGTGTTGCCTCTGCTGCCCGTTCTCCGTCTTTGTTCTGTTTTTAGACGAGTCAGAAGTAAGAGTGGGCAAAGATCTGAGCGGTGTGTTGCCTTTTTCCTGCTGCTGGGCTGTCTCTGCTCATGCTTCCTGTGGGCTCCACTCAGCCAAAGCTGACCTACACAGTCATCCCTGCTCATCTCAGCCACTGCGTTACCATTAAAGCGTTGTGTTAACGCTAACACACACACAGACACACACATATTAATGGAGGTTGTGCAGCAAACCGAGCAAAGGAAGCTGGATTTTTACAGCTTACAGTGATCTGCTACATGAATCCTGCTCAGACTTTCCAGATTGAGGCTCCTCACAAGTCAGCCGGGTTCGTCCACCGTGCTCTGAACACTCAAGCCCTCTTATTTCTGACTGGGTCATCTCATGGGGAGGCTGTGGCCCCCCAGGAGCTGCTGGGTAAAGCCCACCTCTGCACACCCGGAGGGTTTAATCCAGCCGTTTCATTCTCCTTCTGCTGGTTTCTGGTCCCGCTGCCTCAGACTCCAGCCCCTTCCCACATTCCTGAGTGTTTTGACTTTCTCTGTCACAGGAGAATACGCTCCTGCTCCCGCTGCTTTGGCTGGTATGTGCCCCCCCCCCCCCCCCC